CTGCTCTCACGGAATTCCTATTCAACTGGGGAGGCAGACATTAATTAATAGTTATTCAAGCAAATACGATATTACAACTGTGGGCTATGTACGTGTATGACATGAGGAGTCCTGTAAACGTCTGGGGGAATCAGGGAAGGCTGTCCCAAGGAGGTGGACGGTTGCGTGCCAGGAGCCTCACAAACGTCATTTCACGTAATCTAGAAAATCCTGCAAGGTGGCTGTCATTTACTCCCCTTTGACAAAGCAGATAATGGGTTCAGAGGGGGGAAGAACACTCGAGGTCACACAGCGAGCTGGAAGACCCAAGTCAGCACAACTCCAAAGTCCTGGCTTTTCGTTGCTCCGGGTGGTAGGGCAGGTGGCCAAGCGTGGGGACCTTTCATCTGGCAGCCTGTAGGCTCGAGGCGGGGCGGGGCGGGGCAGGGGGTGGGGCCTGAGTGGGGCGGAGCCCGAAGCCTGGTCCCGCCCCAGCCTCTATAGGTGAAATGGCGCCCCAGTGCGTGAGGACTGGGCGGGGGTGGGGTCTTTTCCGGGGGTGGAGCCTGGACTGATTGGGGCCTGAGGAAGCTGCACCTGGATCGTGGAGGGGGCGGAGCCGGAATCTCACCCCATCCTGAAGGAGGCGGAAGCAGAAAGTTGGTGCGAGGCCGAGGTGTCTTACCTGTCCATTCAGGTAGAGGCGGCGGCTCCGGGTCCAGGAGGTCCAGTGGACAGAGCCCCAGGTAGGGCCCAGTTCGGGCCAGGGAAGAGGTGGCCTCCCCACGCCCGTGTGTCCTGCCATCGGATGCTCGTTCCTTCTGTTCGCGGGCCTGACAACGCCTCTGCCATCTGATGGGAACGCAAGGGTAAAGGGGACTGCCTCACACTGTCTCAGTCCCGGGTCTGTGGCTGTGGGATCTGGAGAGAGAGATGCAAAAGCCCCGACGCAGGGGAGACTGGCCCGACTTCCCCGAGGCTGGCTGTGTGACCTTGGGAAGGACACCTGCCCTCACTGCCGTTGAGTGTCCTCAGTCGCAAAACAGGGGCTGACCCTTCGCCTCGCCTGCCCTGGGCTCGGCAAGTTGGATGCGGTTGCGGATGTCCCTGCTAAATAGCCTGGGGTGTGCTTTCTCCCTTCCAGTACCGTAGGAACGCTTAACCTCCTGCTCCCTCTGGTCTTAGATGGAACCGCACTCCCTTCCCTAAATCTGGGACCCCTGAAGGGCTGAGAGCTCAGACCCAGGGCAGCGTGCTCAGGCGTCCCTATGGAGTTGTGTGCTGGCCTGGGAGGCCTGTGGATGTTCCCAGAGTGGGATCTGAGGCTTGCACCAGACACCCCTGATTCCTGCCTGGAGCCCATCTGCCCGTTTGCATTGATAGCGGGGCCACCATTATCCAGGGCTTTGAGTGCCAAGTTAAGAAGTCAACAACTGCAGGCATCCAGGTGCATCCAAGGAGTCTGGCCAGTGCCCTCAGGATGCCTGGGTGAGTGGGGAGCATCACAGGGACAGTCACGATGACAAAGATGATGATAGGTGACGCATACTAGGCATTTACTGCTTGTCAGTGCTTTACATAAATTATCTCGTTCACTCCTCACACCTGCCTTATGAGGGAAGATCTATTGTTATCCCTAATTTAGAGGCTGAAACGGAGGCTCAGAGAGGCAAGGTGACTTGCCCAAGGTCTCCCAGCTAGTAAGTGGCAGAGTGGGGATTAGAACCCAGACAGTCTGGTGCCCCTACCCACGGTGCCCTGCTGCCACTCATGATCTAGACCTCTGGTAATAAAGCCTTGACCTAGCACAGGAGGAGAAAGGAGGGGCCAGGTGAGCGGAAAATTGGAGAATAAGATTCCGGGTCTTGGGAGGGAGGCGTACTGCTGAGCCCTGAGAGGCAGTTAGCTGACTAGGGTCCCCAGTGGAACATTTTGGTTTGGGGGTGTAGACTGGTGTAGGGAAGTGAAAGAGAGCTACTCCTCCATCTAGTGAAGACCCAGGAGGCAGAAGTGGGTCCTGGGGGAAAGAAGATGTGCTCAGTGATGGGTGCAGGCATAGGGTGGGAGTGGGGGCCAAAATGCTGAGCAAGCAGATGTGGGGTGCAGGGAGCAAGGAGAGGAAAGTATTCTAGGCCCCTGTGATGTCAGCACTGAGAAGGGTCTGAAAAACTGAGGCTTTGTTTCATAGAAGAGGAAACCAAGGCCAGCAAGTTACCTGCCTGACAATACTCTTTGCCCCCATTCCTAGCCTGCCCCTCCCATGCTTGCTTCTTTATTCCTGGAAGCTTCCAGAGTCCACTCTGCTTTGCCTGGGTACAGTAGTCTAGAGCCCCCTAAGTGTCTGTCCTCATGGGAGGATTGGAGCAGGACCTGAGTGCGCCCTGGGTGCCGTCTCTGCACTTGGCTCTCTCTACTAAATCAGTGCTTCTCAGCCAGGGGCAGTTTTGCCCTTCAGGGGACATTTGGCAATGTCTAGAGACATTTTTGGTTGTCACAACTAGGAGGGGTGCTACTAGCATCTAGTGGGTAGAGGCCAGGGATGCACCCCACAATGCACAGCAGAGCCCCATACAACAGAGAATTACCTGGCCTAAACCCTGTACTCCATTGAGCTGAGCCTGCCACCCTCCTCCTGCACACCAGGCCTTTAGTCCTCTCGGCAGGGCAGAGAGCTCAGGTGGGGCCTGCCCTTGCTTGGATCTCCAGCTGGGCAGACCTTTGCCCCCATCCCTGGCCTGTCCCTCCCATGCTTGCTTCTTTATTCCCAGAAGCTTCCAGAATCCACTCTGCTTTTCCCGGGCACAGTGGTCTAGAGTCCCCCAAGTGTCTGTCTGCCTGCCCAGAAGCCTGTATTCATAGTGTTTGGTGTCAGGTTGGGAGAATCCAAAGTAGAAAATTTCACCTAGCACATAGTAGGTACAGTGGTTAAGCGCTTGGCTGCTAACAGAAAGGTTGGCAGTTTGAACCCACCAGCCACTCCACAGGAGAAAGATGTGGCCGTCTGCTTCCCTAAAGTTTGACAGCATCGGAAACCCTATGGGGGCCGTTCTACTCTGTCCTATAGGGTCGCTATGTGTTGGAATCAACTTGACAGCAATGGGTTTGGTCTTTTTGGTTTTTGCAGATAAAATATTTATTAAATTTGAGTGACATTTTAGGGGTCTTCTCACTTTAGCCACTGTAATTGTGCCTTATGTTTGTGTGGCTCTGGTGTAGACCAGAAGAATTCATTGCTCAGTCCCATGACCCGGGACCGGCAGAATATAGCTGTTATCGAGAAGTACTGTCTAGGGTGGGGTGGGTGGGGGTCTTATCATTTAGGCTGTCCCAGGGGTAGGCCGTGCACCATGAACACTAAGGCATTTCTTCTCAAATACTGAAGGGTACAGGAATCACTGGGGGATCTTGTTAAAAGGCAGATGCTGGTTCAGTAGCTGATTCAGGCTGAGTTGGGCTCGGGATTCTAACAAGCTTCCAGGTGACACAAATGCTGGTCCATGGACTGCATTTTGAGTGGGCTGGGCAGAGGTGGGCTGTGGGCGGGCTGTCCTCTCTGCAGACAACTCTGGTGTGTTTTTGAGACCATGGAGTGGAAGGAACCCATGGTGTAGAGTCAGGAGACCGGCATTTGAATCACCACCCTCGCCTCCTGCCCCCCTTGCCTATGGCTCTGTTAGCTTAGTAGGGCTTAGATACATTGCTTAACCTCTTCGATGGGTGGTCTTGCATGGTGGGCAGTCCTCCAGTGCTGCTGATGCAAGGTCAGTGAGAGAGACATGCCCTGTGGAGGTGGCGGTGGTCTGGATCCTAGCAGCCACAGGGGCAGTGGGCCGGCCACTGGCCTGGCCAGCGTGGTGGGGCGATGAGCTGAAGCGGGCAGGGCGGGTACCACGCCAGCTAGGAGGCGGCTCTCATTATGGCCCTAGCTTCTTCTTTCCTGCTTCTGGTTCACCCAGCCCTGCCTGTGTGCGAGAACTGGAGAGACTGATCTAGCTGGGGGAAGGAGGGGCAGCCCATAGCCTGAGTGTGGGCCCAAGGGCCTGGCTGGCTGAGTCAGCCCCAGTCTGAGGAGTAGGGGTAAGGGCTGAGGCTGGGGGCTGAGAACTATGGCCTAGGGACCCTGGGGTCAGGCTGTGGTCCATGGAGGAGCTTCCCAGCAGGGAAACTTGGGAGGAATTTGGAGCTTTAAGCCGGGAGCTTCCTCAACCTTGGGCATCTGACTTCAGGAATGGGACTGGGCAGTCTGAGGTACCTGGGGTAACCCCACTCCTGGTCCCCCACAAATCAGTCAGGTTGGCCTACCCAGGCCCTTCCCAACTCCTAGGACCAGGAGGCAGCAAGACAGCTGAACCCATTTCTCAGATGAAAGAACAGAGACCCCCTTCCCATCCTCTGGGGTGAGAAGATCAGCCTTCAGGTCTGTTGTCCCTTACTCAGCAGGGCTCTGGTCAGGCTGACATCCTGAATGTCATGAGGCTGCCCCCCACTGGCACCCAGAAAGGGGTGACCACCACCCTCCTGTTCCACAATTGGGCCATGCCAGCAGTTCATACCAAGGGTTCTGCAGCCACACGGACCTGGATTCGAATCCTGGCTCCTCCACTTATAAGTTGTGAGACCCGGGCCAGCCGCTTCTCCTCTCTGAGCCCCAGCTGGCTTGTCTGTAAACAGGAGTAATAACACCCGCCCAGCCAGCTGCACAGGGTTGTTGGGAAGACTAAATGAGCTGAACCCACTGAGCACTGTGGTCATTATCATTAGTCATGGCATTTAGAGGCGCAGGGCACCTTGGTGTTGCCTTACCCAGAGCCACACTCTACAGATGTGGAGAGCGGCACGCAGATAAGGGAGGCAGCTGTCCATGGGTCTTGCAGCAGGTCGCTGGGCCAGAACCCACGTCTAGGGCCTGCTACCTGTCTGCGTGAAGACACTCCGAGGTTTGCACAAAGGTAAGCCTGGGGACCTGGGTGGTCAGGGTGTGGGAGGGATGTCCACAGCAGCATCTCTTTGCAGCACCATCCATGAACTACGTGGGGCAGCTGGCGGAGACAGTGTTTGGGACAGTGAAGGAGCTGTACCAGGGCCTGAACCCAGCCACGCTGAGCGGTGGCATCGACGTGCTGGTGGTGAAGCAGGTGGATGGCTCCTTCCGCTGCTCGCCCTTCCACGTGCGCTTTGGCAAGCTGGGCATCCTGCGGTCGCGGGAGAAGGTGGTGAGTGCTAGCTGGTTGAGGTGGCCGTCACAGAGTGGGCTTTCAAAGCCTAGAGAGGACCCAGGCCTCCCTTAGGTGGACATGCTTCCCTTCTTTTATATTTTCTTTGAAGGTTCTTGGGGTGGTTTGAAGTGTTGGTGGGGGGGATTCCCATCTCCCCATGGCAGCAGCATAGTGGGGCGGGCCCTGGTTCTAGGGCCCATCAGACCTGACTCCAGCTTACTAAGAACATGTCTGTGTGGTCTTGGTGAGCTGCTTCATGTCTGAGCCCAGGCACTTCCCAAGTACAAATGGCTACAATCTCACCTGCCTGGTGTGGTGCTGGGATGGCTTGGGAGGATTAACAGGAGCTGATATCACTGTCTCAGGCCAGGTATACAGTGACACTCCAACTGTCCCTTTGCCAGCACTCCCATAGCAAACCCTCACTGTCTTCACTGGGCCAGGTGAACGGACAGAGTTTTTTGTCCACACTGAGGTCTTGTGTATGAATAGAAGTCTGATGGACCCACATCTCCTTCACATTAGGCACCTGTGAACTTTCCAGAATCCTAACAGGGAAGTGTAACCTTGTGGGAGACAGTATAGCTAAGTGGTTAAGAGCTAGGGTTGTGGACTCAGACTTTCTGGGCTCATATCCTCTCTTGGCCACTGCCCAGCGAATTACTTAGCTCTTGTGAGCCGCAATTTCCTCATCCGTAAAATGGGAGAACGATAGGAGCTACTTTAAGGGGTTGTCGTGAAGATGAAAGGAGACAATCTATACAGAACACTATATAAAGTGCCCAGTACGTGGTGATCCTTGCCGTGGTTCATGCAGTCACCAGATGTTCGGGCACCGTCCTGGGGGCTGCTTAGCGGTGACAAGACAGATTACATTCCTGTTGTTGTGGGGTGCGGGAGGGAGAGGAACACGGAAACAAAGGAATCAGCAAGGTAACTGAGACAGTGATAAGTGCATTACAGCCCAGAGAGTGGGGTACCATGGGCGAGGGCAGTACAGCCCAGAGAGTGGGGTACCATGGGCGAGGGAGAGGGCAGTACAGCCCAGAGTGTGGCTGCCTCTCTGAGGAAGGAGAAATGGAGCAGGGACCCTCACTGGGGGGTGCAGCCAGGCACACAAGGGTCTGGGGGTGGAGAGGCTCTAGGCGAGGCCATGCTAGGGGGCCAGTGGGCTGGAGCGTGGGAGTAAGGCCCCGCTCCACCCCACTGCAGGTCGACATTGAGGTCAATGGGGAGCCAGTGGACCTGCACATGAAGCTGGGGGACAGCGGTGAGGCCTTCTTTGTCCAGGAGCTGGAGAGCGAAGAGGTGAGTGCCCCCGCTCTCGCCCACACCTGCCCTCCCGCCTGCACTGGTGCCCCTCTGGGCAGGGCCTTGGGGTTTGTCATGTCCCTGCCCCCAGACGCACCCCACTGGTGGGGGTCAGGTACGTGTGATATGCTGTCACAGCCCAGAGGAGGGGGATGGGCTGACTCTGTTCCAGGGGAAGCTGGGAGGAGTTTTTCAGGAGAGGGGGCACCTGGGCTGGCCCCAGAGGATGAAAAGGAAGCATTCCCCAGGCAGCTTGGAGAGAGGGGTGCCGAGGACTGGCTAGGGGGTGGAAAAGCATAAGGTATGGCTTATTCTAGGGGTGGTGCCAGAGAGGTATTGGGAGAAGGGAGACAAAGCCCAGCTCAAACCAATAGAGATGTTTAAACTCTTTTGAGCTTGACCAACTTTAATTGAGTACTTACTGTATGCCAGACCCTGTGCAGGGGACTTGGACAAGGCATGACCCCTGTCTTCAGGAAGGTTCCCAGACTAGTTTGGGAGACAGACAGACACATAAGCAACAGATACTGCCGTCACAGTGAAGGGGGTTGGCAGTAGGGCTGGGGATGGTCAAGGCAAGCTTCCTGGAGGAGGTGATACCTGGGCTGAGTCTTAAAGAAGAAGTAGGTGCCGCTGTAATAGATGTGGGCGGAGGAAGAGATGAGAGGCTGATGCCCAGGGTTCTGCCTGGGGCAGTGTGGAGGGTGCAGCACCCTGGCCTGCCAGGTCATGGGGTGGTTCCCTGGGATTGGGGCTGCCTTATGCTGTTAGGGAGCTCTGAGGCTGGCAGCTGCAAAGCTGCATTGCAGTCCCCTCTGTCCATCCTCTGTGCATGTTTTCCTGACCCTACATGAGCCCACTTCAGGGCCTGGGACTTCGGCAGGGCTCAGAATGACTGGGTGACAAGGGCGGCCTCCAAGCTCTAGCCCCCTCAGCTCTGTCCCTGGTCTGCTCCACAGGAACACGTGCCTCCCCGCCTGTGCACCTCACCCATCCCTTGGGGGGGCCTGTCTGGCTTCCCCCTGGACTCCCAGCTGGGCACAGCCGGTGAGCCTGAGGGCCCTGCTATGGTGGGTGCGGCCTCCACAGGACGGAAGAAAAGGCGGCGCAGGAGGAAGCCCAGGCTGAAGGAGGATGCGGTGGCAGCTGACTCGAGTTTGGAGGAGCTGGAGGCAGGCACCGACAGTGAGCCGTCCCCTCTGGACAAGCCGAGGCTGGAGCCCCCAGGGTGTTTAAGGACCAGGTAGGGGCCGAGGGAGTGGGGACAGCAACCTGGGGTTCAAATGCTGGCTCCTCTGCTGATGCTGTGTGACCCTCGGCAAGTCCCTTGACTTTTCTGGGCCTTGGTTGTTTACCTTCCCAAGTCCCTGACTTGTAGGTTCTGGTACCCTTCTGGGGGTGCCCTGTCTTGTCAGTGATCATTTCCCTGTGGCCCCTCAGCAGTGTCCAGTCAGAAGGGGAGTCTTTCCTGCAGGCCAAAGACATCTATCCCTACTCCGATGGGGAGTGGGCACCCCAGACCAGGTGAGAGTCTCCGAGCCAAGGTCCCACAGTGGTTTCCATTTGCTTTGTTCCGATGACCAATGACATAAACGTGATTAATGTGCTTACCTGCCATTTGTATATTTTCTTTGTCAAGTGTTTATTCAAGTCTTTTGCCTGTTATTTTTCTACTGGTTTACGTTCTTATTGTTGATTCGTGGGTGCTCTTTGTATATTCTTTATATCTTTACATATTCTTTATGTATTTTGGATCCAACGCAGGCATCATATGAGTTGCAAATATTTTTTTCCCAGGCTGAGGTGGGCTGCACAGGGGTAGCAGGATGGTTTGGGGGCCACTGAGTCCTTATTTCCTGCAGCCTCCCGGCAGGTGGGCTGACATCCCCTAAGAGCGACTCAGAGCTGGAGCTGCGGGCCTCAGAGCCCAGCCCCCTGAGAGCTAAGTCCCACATGCAGTGGTCCTGGGGGCGGCTGCCTAAGGTGAGTTCCTCCACTTCAAACCCCTACCCCTGCCTTTCAGGGGCTCTGAGGCCCGTGCGGGTCAGGATGGGAGTGAATGAGACTTGGGCTGTCTCCACAAGGCCTTCTAGGGCATGGGAGGCAGAACTTGCAGTGACCCACATCATCCCTGTTTGTTTGACTGAAGGTGGCTAAAGCTGAGCGGCCCGAGTCCTCGATGGCCCTTGAAGGCAACACTGAAGCAGCCTCTCCTCCTCCAGAAGGGCCCAGCATCCCCTCTGTCTCTGTGGCTGGCATGGACTCCTCAGGATACCCCATCCTGCAAACAGGGGCTGGCACTGACCTACTTCAGCCTGACACAGAGCCTCCCTCTCTGGTGGGCACCTCTTTCCCCACCCCACAGAGTGAGGAAACCAAGACTCAGAGCTCCGAGAACACGCGCCCCCCTCCTGCCTCAAAATCATGGAGCTGGGCAGCTCTGAAGGGCCCAGTTCCCACCGAGCCGCCAGCGGGGGTCTGCAGGAGGAGAGGTGAGTGATGGCGGGGCCCCACCCACTGCTTCCCTGGCCTTGGGTTATCCCCTGGGTGACTCTAGGACTTCAAGCACATTTTGAGCACCAACTGTGTGCCAGGCACTGTGCAGGGCATCAACCCTCATGGGGCTCATGGTCCAGGTTAGGGGTGGGGACAGACAACACCTGCCTAAACAAGAAAGAGCATGGTATGGACGATGTGACAGAGGGCGATCAATTGGGAAAGAGGGGTTATTTATATTGCACGGTCAGGGGAGGCCTCTTTGAGCGAGTGATGCTCGAGCAGAGATGCGGAAGGTAAAAAGCCATCCAGGAGAGGAATGTTGTTAGGTGCCGCTAAGTCATCTCCGACTCGTGGCGACCCCATGTACAACAGAACGAAACGTTGCCTGGTCCTGCGCCGCCGTCATGATTGTTAGGTATGCTTGAGTCCGTTTTTGCAGCCACTGTGCATTTTGAGTGTCTTCCAACCTAGGGGGCTCATCTTCCAGCACTATATTGAATATTATTCTGTTGTGATTCATAGGGTTTTCACTGGCTAATTTTCAGAAATAGATTGCCAGGGCTTTATTCCTAGCCTGTGTTAGTGTGGAAGTTCCACTGAAACCTGTCCACCATGGGTGACCCTGCTGGTATTTCAAATACTGGTGGCATAGCTTCCAGCATCATTGCAACATTCAAGCCACCACAGTACAACCAACCGACAAAGTGAGGAATAGGGGAAAAGAGTTCTAGGCCATGAGATGGGAGAGAGGGTTCACGTTCTAGGAACCAAGGCGCCCACGAGTCTTGAGTGAGGCAGGGGAAAGGGCTGGGAGGAAGCTGGCGAGATGAGCAGAGGCCACACCATCCCAGCTCACAGCTGGGGTTTACCCTAAGAGTGGAGGGAAAGCACTCGGGTTGCACTGCCCAAATCAGTAGCCACTGCCTCTATGTGGCTACTTAAAATTTACTTAAAATTAAACGAAGTTAAAAATTCCGTTTCTCCATCTCGCACTAACCACATTTCCAGTGCTCAGTAGCCACATGTGCTGGTGGCTCCCGTGTTGAACAGCACAGACACGGAACCTTTCCATCATCGCAGACAGTTGTATTGGCAGTGCTGTGTCAGAGGCCTCACAGGGGAAGGAGGCACAGCTGCTCACACTGCTGAGCACATGCTGAATCTAAGGTGTCCCCTCCTCTGTCCTCAGGCTCCCTGAAAAGAAACGAGCACCTGGGCCCCAGTGACATCTACCTGGACGACTTGCCCTCCCTGGACTCTGAGAATGTGACCCTTTACTTGCCCCAGAGGTGCCTGAGTCCTGGGTACCTGGGCTGTCTTGGGTTCGGGACACATCAGGTCTTCCATCAAGGGACTGGGAGCAGTGGGGACCCTCTGCCCAGCCACCTTGTATTCATGTCACCATTGGCTCTTTTGTCCTCAGTAACTATGAGTTGGGGGCCAGGAGGTGGAGTGAACCCAGCAACCAGAAGCTCCTGGGGGACCCTAAACCTGAACACGTGCCAGAACCCACTCCAGACACAGTGGACACAATAGCGCTGTCCCTCTGTGGGGGACTGGCTGACAGCCGGGACATCTCCCTGGGTATGTGTGAGCGTGGCCTGAGCCCTTTTGAGGATAAGCGCTACGCCCAGGGGGCCAAGGGGTTCAGTGAAGACCCCAGAGTGTGTGGCAGCAGAGGTAAGGCTGGACCGGCCTCCCCACCCATCTCTGTGGAGCTTAGTCTCAGTCAGCAAGGGTGGTGTTCCCAAGTCACCGCAGAGCAAACGCTCAGTGTTGAGTGGTGACGATGCGGATCCAGGATGAGCCCAGGGTGGGGACAGCAGGTGCAAAAGCCACAAGGTAGGGAGGAGCCCGCCGGGTAAAGACCCAACTGGCAGGAGCTGTATGGCTAGAGTGCGGCTCTCACAGGCGGGTCTGCTGGCCTCACCCTCACTCCCTGCCTCTGTGCCCAGAGAAGTTCAGCCAGCACGTCGTCTCCTACCAGGACCTCACGGAAAACCCCAGCCTCCTGGACGACCCCAACCTTGTGGTGAAAATCAATGAGAAGTGAGTACTGGGGCTGGGCTCCTGGCCACCCACGAGTCACCCCACGTTCAGGACCCTGTGGCTGTTGCAGCCCCTGTTTTCTCTCTCCAGGCATTATAACTGGGCTGTGGCTGCCCCCATGATCCTCTCCCTGCAAGCCTTCCAGAAGAACCTGCCCGAGGTAATGATTAGGACACCACTGGGCCTGCTGGGAAAGTGGCCATAGCCTCGGGGTGGGGGCCCTTGGCAAGAAAGTGGGGGGTGGGCAGAGATGGCCTCTGGGGGAGGAGACAGGTCCCCCCATCCTTGCCTTTATCCTTTGGGGATAGAGCCGCACCCTTCTTTAGTTTCCTGACCATGGCTGAATGCTAAAGGATTTTGGCCTTTGCGTCACAGGGGCTCAGGACAAACCTGAGGGGCATACACATCCAACAGATGCTGAACAGGGACATGCCTTCCATGGGAGGTTTCTGGATCAGGAAGACAGAGGCCCCCCACCCCCACTCTTCTTGCCCTGAGAACCCCTCCTGGCTGGGCTAGAGGAGTTTGCTTGCTTTATCAACATTCAATGTTTGTTGAGTATCTACTGCGCACCAGGCCCAGGCTGGGCACAGTCATGAACTAAACAGTCCTCATGCTCGTAGGAAGAGGGAGTTAATCAGAGTCAGTCAGATGAATATGTAATTCAGTTGTGAGTGCTGGGAAGGAGAGGTCTGGGGTGCTTTGAAAGCCACAACAGGAGGTTTGCTGAGGAAGTGCCCGCTGGGCTGAGATCTGAGGACAACTAGGCCATAACCAGGTGAGGGGCAGGGAACAGCAGGTGCAGATGCCCAGAGGTGGGAAGGAACACAGCCTCTTTAGTCCCCACGAGAGGCTCCACCCTGGTCCTCCTAGGCCACCTTCCCTCACTCTTAGAGAACAGTGCCTTCCAGGTCAGCAAAAGCCTGTACCGACTTGCCCCTGCCCCTTCTGCCCCTCTGGGAGCCATTCAGAGCCCTGCTCTGGTCTGACCCATTGTTCTCGTTCATTTGGGTTTGCCCAAAGAACATCACCAACCAGATGTCGAAGCTGGTGCCTCCCTTTGGTGATGATCAGCTCCTTCCCTGGCATTCCTGGCTGGCTCTGGGTCTGCGCTTAGGGCCTGTGGTCACTCCCCTACTTGGCTCTCCTTACCTTACTCGGACAGACCCACCACTTGAGGTCCCTGGGAAACTCCCTCAAACCCATTTCCAGCTCAGGTGAGCACCCTGGTCAAGCCACCCTGAGCCCATGTCTTCCTGACTTGGGTTCTCCCTTCTGCATCTGTAGGATGCTATGTCTCCCAGATGGACGTTGGCCTGGGCTCTCCCTGAGGCTATCTTGTACAGACCACAAAGTCATCTTGTCCAAGCCAGACAATGATGGTAGCATACGGAGAGGGATACTGTTCATAGGATAGGACCACTGACCTTAGGTTAAGGGAAGTATTGGCCATAGACTGTCCTTCCTGCTGCCACTTGGTGGCATCATGCAGGGAGTACCAGATCTTGAGAAACTCCCAAAACACTACCTTCAGTTACTCTAGTAGGGATACTGACCCACAAGATATGGAGGCCAAGGCTGGACTAGAGCTGGGAGGCCAGGGCTGGGGAGGGGGCAGGAAGGACCCTTGGTCTCCTGTGTATAGCTCTGTGAGTCATTGCTTAGAGCCCCAGGATGGAGGCGAGTGTGCTTCCTCAGCCTCCAGATATTGACAGCACCTTGCTGTAGGGTCGCCTCCGACCCTGGGCATGTGGGGGGCCCTGAGGGCAGTGTGAGGTAGGTTTGTGTTGTACAGGAAGAAAATACCATGGATTTCATCTGCCCGCAGAGCACTGTGGGCAAGCTGGAGAAGGAGAAGATGCCTCAGAAGGGTGGGCGTTGGTGGTTTTCCTGGCGATGCAGGGATCTTCCCGCTGAAGAGGTAGGTGGTCATGCTCGTGGGGTGGGGCCAGCCCAGGGCAGGGAGCAGGGTTCACTAGATGGGCGTTCTTCCCACAGCGCAGTGCCCAGAAGGAGAAGACCACAGCCAGGGAGACACGGAGGTGAGTTAGACCTCCCGGTTGGGGCTGTGCAGCCAGGGCTGGAGCCTGGGAAAGCACTTGTACACCCACCCGTTTCCCTGAGAAATGTCCCAAAGTCCCCTAGTCATGAGATGGCAGAGCTGGAACAAATGGGGATCAGACTCCTGGGCCTACCGTATTCAGGAGGGGCAGGGCCACCCCCACCCCAGCCTGTAGCTGGGACTGACCTTGCTTCCTTCTTTCACCTCCAAAGTGACCCAGAATGTCTGAGATTGGGTGGGGGTGACAAGGATAGGCCAACTGAAGCCAAATCAGGTATGGCTGGGAATAAACCCTAACAAGCACCTGTAGGCTTTTCATGTAAATATTTCCAAGGCAGGCCCTGGCATCCGCTGGCTGTGGAGGGTGCAGACTGAGGCCTGGGTGCCCTGCATCTTGGGTCCAGCTCTGCTGTCACATTGGGTGTAGACTGTGGGCCAGTCCCTGTCTCTGCCACCATCAATGGATGGTGGCTGGAGGGAAGGAACCCTGATAGCCTGGGCTGTCTGGAGGAACAGGCCAAGGCCTTGTGGCCTGGGCTGAGGGTGGGTGTCTCCTGGGAGTGCTGGGCCCTCAGCTAGGGGGAGGTGGCCTGAGAGCCTGGGCTGCCCGCAGGGAGGAGGCAGACATCCTGAGCAGCGAGGACGACGGTCCAGACAGCCCCATGATCCTCAAGGCCCCCTCCCTACCACGCTCACCTCCAGCCTACACTCCCACCTACAAGAAGTCCCTCCGCCTCTCCTCCGAACAGATTGTAAGTGTGCACAAGTGTGTTCCTGTGTGTGGCAGGGCTGAGACTATTCTGTCCCAGAGTCCCTCAGTTCCATGGAGCCACGTGTTCACCAAAGGCCAGAATCTATTCCTTGGATACCTCCAGGGGTGGGGGACTCACTCACACACAAGCCAGCCCATTTCCCTGTCATATGCTCTGACTGAAAAAGCTTCCTCTTATGTCGTCCTGAAATCTCTACTTTCAGTGGGCCAGCTGGCTTGGGTTCTGCCCTTGGAAGCCACAACTCAGGAGTCAAAGCCTGCTGACAGCCCCCCAGATTGTGGCAACCCTGGTCCCCCAAGCTGTGTCTTCTCTGAGCTCAGTGACTGGTGGCTCCATGGTTAGGGAGGTGCCAAGGGGGTCTGGCCAGCCCGACACAGAGCAGGATGCCATCTGCCTGGTACCCTGGGGGCTCACATCCAACCTGGGGTTTACCAGGGCCCTGAAGGCTTGGTCACCTCGTTTTGGCTGAGCGCTGCCCCAACCCTACTCTATGGGTCATGTACAGGGCTCGGTCTCTCTTTAGGAGAGTGTGGAGGCAGGTACCCTAGCCCCAGGCAAGAGGCTGCCCGTGAAGATTCCCGCAGGGCCCTGATCTATGGTGTGGGGTCTCCTGCCAAGAGCAGTGCTGCTGCCATGGGGCTAACCTGAGAAGCCTGGTCAGGGAGTCATGGCCGGGCTGCATCTGTGGTTTTATTTCAAAGGGGAGAGAAGGGAGGTTAGGGCTCCTGTGCCCCGGCACCCTGCAGGGCCCCAGCCAGTGCTCCCTTGCTGCCTCCTCACGGCCACCCTCTGCCCACATGGGTGTCTCTGTGTGGCTGTCTCTGAGAAGTTCAGGAAGGTTCCCTGAGTTGGGAGTAAGTGGCAAATAAGAAGTTTGTGGGGACAGAAGACCACAGCATGGGCTAGGCTTCCAAACAGAGGGTTGGCCACACCCAGCTGCAGCCAGTCACAGCTCCCCTTCTGCCTGGCCCTAGAGGCGCCTGAACCTGCAAGAAGGCGCCAACGACGTGGTTTTCAGCGTGACCACCCAGTACCAGGGCACCTGCCGCTGCAAGGCCACCATCTACCTCTGGAAATGGGACGACAAGGTTGTCATCTCTGACATCGATGGCACCATCACCAAGTGAGGCCCGGCCAGCTGGCCGTGGGGAGGGGGCCTGGGGACCTGCCTCCTCTATCTGGACGGGTGTGGTGGGGCTGTACCCGTGGAGCATGAGGGCAGCAGGGCTGCCTCGGAGTAACCCCCTCCTCTCTGGTTCTAGGTCAGACGCTCTGGGCCACATTCTGCCCCAGCTGGGGAAAGACTGGACACACCAGGGCGTCACCAGTCTCTACCACAAAATCCACCTGTGAGTGCCCAGGCAGGGGCAGGGTAGGGCCCCCTGCCATGGGAGGGGTGACAGGAAGCCTCTGTTCCAGGAAGCTGAGCTTGGGGCAGGGCTAGAGCCAGGCCCCCACCTATGGGAGGGAGTGACGAGCTCTGTTCTCTCGTCTGGAGAGCTGGGCGTGAGGGACCGGCAGGCCCATCAGGGAGAACCTGGGGCGGGTGCCTGGAGAGCTCAGACCCACTTACTAGTCCTCAGTTCTGTGAGTGACTCATCTCCCTGGGGCTGTGTTCCAGGATCCGAGTCTCACTGCTGGCCTTCCTGCTGTAGGGAGGCCCACAGAGTTGCCCGAGCCCTCGTGCATCGTGGTCCTCAGGACTTAGTCCATGCTCCTTCCAACTGGGACAGCTGCTGAGGCCACCTCTCAGTCCTGGCCCAGCTGTTTCCCTGAGTCCCCTCCTGACAGAGGCCTCTGGGCTTGGAAGTTGGAGCCCCAGAGTTGGGTTAGATTGGCCCAAAGCCAAGAGGATGTGATGGGGGAAGGCTGGTCTCTAATGAGGGAAGGCTGGTCTCTGATGGCTCTGTGCCACCCCCACCCCAGAAATGGGTACAAGTTCCTGTACTGTTCTGCGCGGGCCATCGGCATGGCTGACCTCACCAAGGGGTACCTGCAGTGGGTGAGCGAGCGGGGCTGTGGTCTCCCCAAGGGCCCCATCCTGCTATCTCCCGGCAGCCTCTTCTCCGCCCTCCACAGGTAACTACCCCGACACTATAGAAGCCCATGACCCCTTGGAGGGAGGGGCAGACCCACTGCCAGCCTAGGCCAGGCCAGCACTGGGCCTTGGGTATCAGCTGAGGGCTGGGTCCCGGCCCACAGTTGCCTGACCTTGCCTCCCTCCCTGGTTTCTACCCCTCCTCACCCCGATCCCTTCCTGTGACACTGGCTGCCCCAGAGAGGTGATTGAGAACAAGCCGGAAGTGTTCAAGATCGCCTGCCTGAGTGACATCCGGCAGCTGTTTCTGCCCTACGGACAGCCCTTCTATGCCGCCTTTGGGAACCGGCCCAACGTGAGGTGTCCCCTCCCCGCTGGCTGAGCTACCTCCTCCTCACCTCCCAGCCGGCCTCTGTTCAACTGGCCCCTTCTTGTCCCCCACAGGATGTCTCTGCCTATTGGCAGGTGGGCCTCCCTGAGTCTCGCATCTTCACAGTCAATCCACGGGGAGAGGTCATCCAGGAGCTCATGAAGAGCCACAAATCCACGTGAGGCCAAACACCGCCGCGTGTGCCCTGGGCCTACCTCTCCCTGGGCCCCCATCTCACCTCCCCACCCGGGACTCTGTCCTCCATCCTGGGGCTCCCACGCATGACGTGGTCTCCACCTGACATGGCGGGGGCCGTGGCCTTGTGGCCACTCGGATTCTCAGTGCCCGCCCCGTTCTGCCTGTAGGTACGAGCGGCTTGGCGAGGTGGTCGAGCTCCTCTTCCCGCCTGTGGCCCGTGGCCCCAGCACAGACCTGACCGAGCCAGAATACAGCAACTTCTGCTACTGGCGGAAGCCCCTGCCAGATGTGGACCTGGACTCCCTGGCCTGAGCCTGCCCTGCCTCTCTGGCCTGGCCCAGAACAGACTGGGTGTCCCAAGACATAGGGGTAGAAGTGGGGTACCATGGGGCCAACGAACTGAAGGGGAGGAGGGGGCTGTGGACTAGCTGGCACAGAGACCCGCCCCACTCCTCCGTGTCCTGTCTCTTGCCTCTGCCAGCTGAGTGGCAGGGGGTGGGCAAATGCTCCAGGCCTCAGTGTGGCCCTGGCCTGTAGCAATTAAATGTATGTCATCTGGGCCCTTTCAGGGTTCTTTGTGCTCTTGGTGTTTCTGTCCCTGTCACCCTGGGGCCTTGGCTCAATTCCTTATGGGGCAGGGAGAAGAGGGAGCCCACTGAGGCTGGAGGCCTAAGGCAAGGGTTGGGGCTGCCCTGCAGCAGCAGTGGGGAGAGGGAGCCTGGATTATATGTACTGTCTGAAGCCAGACCCTTCCACCAGCCCTGGCCCCTTCCCACGTCACTGTCTCTCTCTTGCTAGCTAGCATCTCAGCACATGAGACCACTCCAACCCTGGGCACTCTGCTGCCTGCCCTACCAGCAGCAGGGAAGTGGGGGGTGGTTCTTGGACACTGTCAGGGCCATGAGAGTGTGGCCCCTACTCAGCTGCCACCCTTGCTTCTCTGAGCACCTTCCTTGACTGCCCTGAGCCCTGCGGGATAGGTGGGTGTTGGCCTGGCTGCCCACCCCGGCCTTTGTGGGCAGTTCCGTGCTCACGTGGTTGCTGAGGGCTCTTGTCCGAGGAGCTGGGGGATGCAGGGCTGACACCCACTCTAGTCCCCTCCCAGTTATCCCTCCTACCCCCCCACGTCGCTGGTGAACACAGCGCTGTTAGATGGGCTAGAAGCTTTAATCCAGAACCGCCCTCCCCCAACAGTTCCCAAGTGGAGGGCAGAATGTCGAGGCAGGGCTGTGGGGACCTGCAGAACGGCACACCAGGGCCTCTGCTGCTGTGGGGGAAACTGAGGCAAGGAGCCTGAGCAGACACAGGCGTAAAGCCTCTGGGAAGTGTGCAGGCCTGATGGACACCTGTTTTCAGATTGTCCCTCCATGTTAGGATAGTTACTGTGTGAGTATCCTAGCAGGGCTGGGGTTCTGCAGGGGTGTTGGGAGCAAGGCCTGGATCCCCTTCTCTCCAGCTGTGGCCCCTCCCGAGGATCTGGCCACATTCAGGCCGTGTTGTACATGAGGACCACTCTCTGGAGAGAGGCCCTGACTTGGGGGGGAGGATCTTCCCAAAAAATGGAAGGAAGAGGGTCATGTGGGGCTACGGGAAAAAAAAAAAAAACCCGTTGCCGTTGAGTCGATTCCGACTCATAGCGACCCTATAGGACAGAGTAGAACTGCCCCGTAGAGTTTCCAAGGAGCTGCTGGTGGATTCGAACTGCCAACCTTTTGTTTAGCAGCCAAGCTCTTAACCACTGTGCCACCATGTGGGGCCAGAGTGCCCTGAAAATACTTCTGGGGAAGGAAAGGAAAAGGATAAATTGGGATTGGGGTCCCCAAACACATCACCTGGACCCAATCTGAGATTCTACAGCTGCCTACGCCTTCACCTTGGGAGAGGAGCAGGAGGAATAAACAGCACTCTTGGCTGAGTCTCTGTGTTTCCATTTCGTCCTGGAGGACCTGTGAGGAGCTGGAACCCCCCAGCAGGACCTGCTCCTCGGTGCAGGAACAGCAGCCGGAAGCTGCCACGGGTGAGAACAGTTCCGGGGGCATCACCTTCCCATGCAAGCCCAGCCTGGACAGCCAGGGACAGAAGCCAAGGGGAGAAGGGAGGAATCGTGAGTGCAGGGCCAAGGAAACCAAAAGCCTCCGCGAGCTGGGGGCTATTGCTTGTGAGCAAATGGAGACATGGGCAGAGCCACTGTCTGAGAGCCAGACTGTAGGTCTTTGCAGAGTTACTGGCTCTGGGGTGTCTGCAGAGGAGCAATTTGCAGACCATGGAATTGAAGTCTCCTGAGTCTACTCCTGCCTTCAGACACAGCATTCTTGCCTTGACCACTATTCTGCATTGTTCAGTTTGTGCAGCACCAAGCGTGGATTTTGGTGGCTGGGAGTGTCATGTGGTGCTGGACCAAGCCCATTTCTTCTGTGGCCTCTGAAGTGGCATCCACGCTGGGGGAGGCTAGGAGGCACAGCTGTGCAAGGCTGGCTCTGGGATGCCATTCCCAGGGCTGGTGGGCTCTGCGGGGTAGGTCCTGTCCACCCACTTAGTTGGCTCGCCCTGGCCGCTCCTGCTCAGCCAGCTTGGCCCGGCAGTCTAGCAGGTCATCCTGGAGGCGGGCGATGTCCTGTGTGTGCTGGGCCAGCGTGCGGTTCAGCTGGTCCACATGGCCCCAGAGGCCCTCCCTCAGCTTATGCGGCTCAGTGGACAAGCTGTCCAGGCTGGTGGCCAGCAGGCCCAGCCTCCCACATGCACCCTCCACTTGTGCCACCCTCCGGTCAAAGTGGCCCACTGCATGCTGAAGCTCCTGGGCTGTGTCCTGGCAGCGGCTCAGCCCACCAGCCACATTGGCCACGCCAGCCTTGAGTTGCTCCAGCTCCCCCTGCAGGCTCAGGACCTGCCTGTGGCCGGCCCGAAGTCGTGAGCCCTGGCTGCTGACCTGCTCCTGGATGGCATGGACCTCAGCTTCCACCTTGCGTTCCCGCTCGTCCAGGGACGTGTTGGCAGCTAAGAAGGCATCAGAGTACTGGCTGATGGAGTCGCTGAGGCCCGTGAGTGACTTGCTCACTGAGTTCAGATTGACCTTGAGCAGGGTGATCTCGCCTTGGAGTGAGCTGCCTGTTGCTCCTGCCAGCTGCCCTTGGACCTCAGCCATGGTGCCATTGAGCTGTCGGAGCAGGGCTGCATGGCTGGCCACCTGGAGCAGGAGGGCCTCGCTTTGGCTCTGCCAGGCCTTCACCTCTGCCACGAGGTTGTCCAGGATGGCTGAGGTGGTGCTGGGGGCACACGAGGTCTCCAGCGAAACCAGCCGTTGTTCCAGCACGGCCAGTTCCGACTGTGTGAGGGGCTGTGTAGACCCGCCCGGCAGGGAGCTGTCATGGCTCAGCTCCCCAGCCAGCGTCACCAGGCGCTCCTCGAGGCTCTGCACCCGCTCTTCCAGTGTGGCCCCAAAGCCACCCACGCCCCATCCCCCCCCCTCCTCCACCCCCAGACAGCAACCCCTCACTCCACTCTCCGTCCCATTGAGGGTCTCCAGGCCCTCGAGCCGCCCATCGAGTATGGCAGCAGAGAGCCGAGTGAGCTCACCCCCAGAGGGGGGGCTGCGACCCCTCTGGGCCTCCGTAATCACCTGTAGGTTTCGCTCAAGGCTGTCCACGCGGGCGCCAATTAGGGCCAGGTGACCACAGCAGCTGCCCCCACCAGCCACACTCAGGCCCTGCAGCCGGGTGCCCAGCTGGGAGAGCTCCCGGCGCAGGGCCAGCTCCCGGCCGTCCAGGCTCTGGTGCAGCCTCCGGCTGGCCGCCTGGCCCTCCTCACACTGCTGCCGCACCTCCCGCACCCGTAGGTCACACTCACTCTGGACAACTTGCAGCTTCTGCTCGAAGCCATCTAGCAGGCCACCCCAGAGCTGGTGCAGCCGGCGGTCCACATACTCCTCCAGCAGGGCCAGGGAGGTGAGTGGGGACGGTGGGGCCTCCCGCAGTCTCTGCAGGTGAGCCTCGTGGCCCAGGGCCAGCCCGTGCACCTCGTCCAGCAGTTGCATCTTGGTCTGCAGCGTGTTGCTCACCTCTGTCACCTTGCCCAGGATCTCGTCCAGGGGAGGTGTGAGCGGCCCTCTGGCTCTGCCTCCTGAGCCCACAAACCCCTCGGGGACGACCCCAAAGCCCACGGGGGCAGCAGGAGCCCTGGGGCCACCTCTCATTCTGTTGGGGTCCTCGTGGCTGGCCACCAGGCCACTGAGAGTACCATATGCTTGTGCCAGGCGCTGGACATCACCCTCCAGGCGCTCCAGCCGTTCCCCAAACAGCCCTGGCCCTTTCCTTCCTGGGAAAGAGGAGGAGAGAACCCCAGCTTGTCATGTCCCTCAGCTGCCCAAGGTTTTCTGTTCTAAGCCAACCTTTCCATGGGAATAGCCCACTTTTGCCTTGGGGAAGGGTACTGAGGCTCACCCTCATGCCCACCAGTCACTGCATCCTCCCCAGCCCTGCCAGAGCCCAGCCTGGGTCAGTCCCTTTCCCACTTCCCCCGCTGAGTCCAGGAAACCAATCACCTTGGTAAGGTCTCTGTGGGCAGACTCACCATGGGGGCTGGCGGCCACTCTGCTGTAAGGAGGGGGCCTAGGGCCTGGGCTCAGCTGCCCCGAGGGAATCTGGGACTCGGGCTCTGGCTGGGGTGGGGCGGCCCCGTTGTCAGTGAGGTGCTCGGGGCAGCCTTCTCCAGCGAGGCCAGGGCAGCAACGCCAGGCGATGTCTGTCACTGTCTTGTAGCCGACCTTATATTTGGGTCTGAGCACCGTGCGGTACCTGAGCCCAGGAGGGGAAGAGGGTAGGGGGCAGGAGCTGGGTGGGTGCAGCCTAGCTCTGCCCCAGCCCCAGCCCTGCCTGGTCTTGTGACCCAAGGAACCTGCCTGTGGCCTGAGGTTCTTGCCTCCAGCTAGGCGACCTTGGTCAGTATTGAGGGCCACTCTCAGACACCTGTATGAAGCCTAGATCTTTCTCCCCCCCTCCCTGCCGGGTCTTTCCTTCTGTGCTTACGGTGAGAGGGTGGGGACAGGCCTTCCTGGGGCTCAGAGCCTTGGTGGGGGAGGATACAGATAGAAGCCCCACCTCATCCTATTTGCTGGGCGGTGGTGGGGAGGTAGCAGGGATTTAGCCCCAACACTCTCAAGACCACGTGGTTCCCATTTAGCTCATGCTGCCATGAGAAGTGCCACTGTGGCTTCTGTGGTACCTGCAGAATTCTGACAAAGCCCCACCCCAACCTGCATTTTGGAGGCATTGCCTGGAGCTAGGGCAGGCACCCCTCTCACTGTCCGGGGACCACTCTTGGCTTTTATCAGCTCCTCCTACTTCTTCCCACTCCTCCCTAGCCTACTCCATCAGCTCAGCAGGGAGGAGAAGGTGGTCCCCAGGGAGCAGGACAGACTCACGGGGGTACCTGTGTAGCCGTGTACCTGTTCACCCACTGATGCACTGGAGCAAACAGGCTGTTTTCGGGTACTCATTTAAACCTCTCCAGGTAGAGCCTTGTAGGGACCTGTGCATCCCACACCTGTCCACCTCCACAGGTCCTTGCACACAGCCCCACCTGCCTGGCCTGAGTCCCCTGCACTCTGGCTTCCACGCCCTCCCTCTTAGCCACCACAGCCCTTCCTGGGCTGCCCAGGCCCCCTTTGACATCAGCCATGGCTAGTATGACCTTCTGCTCTCTCCCCTCCCCCCACCCTCTATGGCACTTTCTCCTTACCTTGTGCTTCTCCCCTTGGAACCTTCCTCCTGTCCCCTTGTGGCTCTTGGGCTCCAGTCTGAGCCTACCCCTGTCTTCCTGCCACAACTTGTTCAAAACCTTTGGGGTCCTCTGTGGCCCCCTCCGTCTGGGGTCCTGATCCACTCTGGTCTATGTGGGGGCTAGGAAGGGATCTTTGGGGCCCAAGGAGCTACAGCCCTTTGTGAAGTTGGTGGCTGCTCTCAGCTGAAGGCAGGGCTGGGCCTTGTGTCAGGGGATCCTAATAGGTGGGATGGGGGTGCACTCACGTGACTGTCCCGGGGCACTTGGGGCCCCACCCACACTGCCGGTACTCAGCCTTTACATAGCTCTCTGCTCCCTCCTGTAGGATGCAGGTCACGTTCCTGTGCACCACGTAGGCACAGAGGGCTCTGCAGGGGAAAATGGCACCCTTGGAGTATCTGGCCTGGGCCAGGACCACTGAGGCTCTTACCCTCTCCCCACCTATCAGCCTCAGCAAGGGACCAGACCCCCTATCTCTCGTCTGTCCTTCCTCCTAACTTCTAGGAGCCGAAGCCCTTGGCCTGGGGTCCAGAATTTTCTGGCTTGGTCCCAGCTGCACTGCTGGTCTCTTGACCCCAGCTTCCCTGATGGCCTGGTCACTGGGCTAGGCATTGTACTGAACCAGGAGCCTGGTGTGGCGGCTATTCCTGTGGTCTGAGGTCCACCCTGGATTCCCCACATCTCCACTCTCCTCCAACCCCTTCACTGTTTCCAGCCTCCTGAACTTGGCTTTGGAGGTTCTGAGGTCCCAACTTAGTACATTCTCTGAGAGCAGGTTTCTCATTCTTGCTCTTCTGCCTCTTGGGAAAACATATCCCACCTTGTAGTCTTCCAGCCCCTGTCTTTGCTCCTGTTTTCTCTCTCACAGGCCAATTCTCATACCGCCTCCTCCAGGAAGGCTGCTCTGATTTGCCCAGGCCCACTGCGTGTCAGCTATGAGCCCAACACTCTCCTCCTACAATACCCCTCAAATTCAGCCACAGTCTTCACAAGACAGTGCCCCAGGCTGTGCCCCACTGGGGCCAGTTGACAAGCCACTGCCTTACTAAAGAAAATATGCTAAGGTAGTTCTGCTATGGAGTCTCAGCACATGCCCAGGCCCCAAAAGCCCCCACTAACTCTGCGGCCAAGCCACGAAGGGGCCCCCAAGGGGTTCCAGGAGCCTGGCTGACGGCGGGAGGGGTACCCGGCCACCGGGCACATGGCTCCATCTCCTATCTGGCGGGGCAGGGGAGAGATGGGAGGCCCCGGGGTGGGGGGAGCCCCGCGTGCTCCATGCACACATTGCCCTTCCTCCTCTCCCTCCACCTGGTCGGCTGCGCCCGGAGTTTGCACACAGCGCAGCTGGAAAATGTTACTTCGCTGGAAAGGTTTCCGCGGGCACTGCCAGGATCCCAGCCGCCGCGCCAGGCCCCCTCGGCAGATTTTTCTTCGCCAGCCCCGCAGCCTCCCGGAGCGTGAGGCGCCCGCGCGGGCAGGAGCTCGCCCCGGTGCCGCCCCCTCGGGTGTCTGGCGCCTCGCCGCCCTCGCGCAGGGTCCCGGCAGGTGAGAGCGGCGCCCGCGCCCCGTACCCCATCCCTCCGCTTCCCGCCCCGGCGCGGCCCGCGCTTACTTGTGTGGCCCCGGGCGCAGCCGCGGGCGCCATCCCGTCGTGTAGAGGCTGTAGCTAGAGGCCCCGGGCGGCGCGGGCCGCGCCAAGAGCTGGGTGCCCTTGGCCTGCACGCCTGAGAGCAGCGCCGCGACGGTGCATAGGCAGAAGGGCAGGCGGCGGGGGCCCATCGCGGCCCCGGCTCTCCACCTGGCTGTGCGGCGCCCCCCGGCGGTGTCCACCAGC